TAAGATAACTATCAACTAAACTTAGGGAACCTAAAGGGTCGAAGTAAATACCAGAACTGTTCGTCAAAGACGTAATGATATCTTGACTCAGCGCGGAATTACTGTAATAGAATATAATTAAAATTAGTATTATGTATATAACTAGGGTTCCGTTTCAGATCTAGGAGCTAATTTAACTTCGTCATAGTGATGTGTCACATGACGTCTACTTATGAGTAATGTCAAAGTGTTTCTGCCATTGATTTTTACCACCTTATACGGTCCTTTCCAAATACGCGAAAGGGCTTCAAGTCCAGAATGAATATACCCCCCATGAGCAATGACAATAATAAACGGCCCCCAGTCCCCGGCGGCCCCGCTATTCCTGGCTACGGTGGCGACCATGGTAACGGCGGGGCAGGGGGTGCTAAGAATCTCCGGTGGAGGTTCGGTTGCCACCTACGACGACTCGACCTGGCAACATACAACGCACGCACTCTGAGGACTGACGAGAAGATTGTGGAGCTGGAAGAAGAGATAGACAAGTTACGCTGGCATATTATAGGATTATCCGAAGTCCGAAGAGAGGGGGAGGACACGGTAATCCTCGAATCCGGCAACTTGCTCTATTACCGGGAGGGCGACCATCTGTCCCAAGGAGGTGTCGGATTTATCGTCGACAAGTCTCTCGTTAACAACGTTGTAAAGATTGAGAGTGTGTCGACGAGGGTTGCGTACCTTATACTCAGAATCACCAAACGGTATTCGCTGAAGGTCATACAGGTTTACGCACCAACCTCGGCACACCCCGATCAGGAGGTGGAGGAAATGTATGAGGATATCTCTAGAGCCATGCATTCCTCCAAAACCCAATATACGGTGTTAATGGGAGACTTCAATGCAAAACTAGGCACAAGAGAGAACGGTGAGCTGAAAGTAGGGAAATTTGGAATAGGGCAACGGAACCCAAGGGGCCAGCAGTTGGATGTCTTCATGGAGAAAGAGGGACTCTTTATGATGAACTCTTTCTTCCAGAAGCGACCCCACAGGAAGTGGACCTGGTCGAGCCCCGACGGTTCGACAAAAAATGAGATTGACTTCATTATGACGACCAGACGACAACTGTTCAGTGATGTCTCAGTGATCGCGAGGGTGAAAACCGGCAGCGATCACCGATTAGTTAGAGGCACACTGAACCTAAACGTTAAGTTGGAGAGGTCTCGTCTAATGAAGTCAACGCTCCGTCCCCCTCGTGCTCTAATCCAAAGTCCCGAAACCTTTCAGCTCGAGTTACAAAACCGTTTTCAGTGCCTAGAAGACTGCAATGAAGTGGACGATTTGAATGACAAGCTCGTGGAAACTGTCCATGCGGTCGGAGCTAAGTTCTGCAAGACCCGCCGCAGAAGAACACAAAAACTCTCCGATCACACTCTTAATCTCATGGCTGTTAGACGGGAGATGAAGCTACATTCTTCAACAGATTTGACAGCATACAGGCAACTGAACAGACAGATCTCCAAATGCATGCGGCGGGACTTACGCAACTTCAATACAGCTCGTATTGAAGAAGCGATCGAGCGGAACCAAGGCTCCAAAGTCTTTGCCAGAGATCTGTCTGCCAGAAAGCGCCAACTGTCAAAGCTGAAGACAGAATGTGGCAGCATCGTTTCCGGGGCACCTGAGATTTTGAGTGAGATTGAGAGGTTCTATGGGCAGCTGTACACGTCATCGTTGGAGCCGCACGCAAGTGTGAGTAACGATCCAAGAGCAAGTCTTATCCGACATTATTCCGATGAAATCCCGGACGTCAGTCTGAGCGAGATTAGAATGGCTCTCCAGCACCTTAAAAACGGCAAGGCCCCAGGCGAGGATGGAATTACAGCGGAGCTTCTGAAAGCGGGTGGAAAACCGGTACTTGAAGTCCTTCAGAAGCTCTTTAATTCCGTCCTCCATGGTGGCATTACACCGGAGGCGTGGAGCAGAAGTGCGGTGGTCTTGTTCTTCAAGAAAGATGACAACGCTCTCTTGAAGAACTACAGACTGATTTCCCTTCTGAGCCGCGTCTACGTGCTGTTTTCGAGAGTCATTACGAATCGTCTCGCGCGCAGACTTGACGACTTCCAGCCTCCCGAACAAGCCGGTTTCCGAAAAGGCTTTAGCACCATAGACCACATACATACCCTTCGGCAAATTGTACAGAAGTCCGAGGAGTACAATTTGCCACTATGTCTGGCGTATGTGGACTATGAGAAAGCCTTTGATTCCGTCGAAATTTGGGCGGTGCTGCAGTCCCTTCAGCGATGCCAAGTTGACTGTCGGTATATCGAAGTGTTGAAGTGCTTGTACAGTAGGGCTACGATGGCTATCCGAGTACAGAACCAGAGTACGAAACCTATCCAATTGCAGAGAGGTGTAAGACAGGGTGACGTCATATCCCCGAAACTCTTTACCGCTGCATTGGAAGATGTTTTCAAGCTTCTGGACTGGAAAGGATACGGTATCAACATCAATGGCGAGTACATCACTCACCTTCGATTTGCCGACGATATAGTCCTCATGGCAGAATCGCTGGAGGACCTAAGCACTATGCTCAATGACCTTAATAGTGTTTCCCAACGGATAGGTCTTAAGATGAACATGGACAAAACAAAGATCATGTTTAATGTCCATGTCACACCTATGCCGGTAGTTGTTGGGAACACTAAGCTCGAAGTTGTTGACGAGTATGTTTACCTGGGACAAATAGTCAGACTAGGTAAGTCCAACTTCGACCGAGAGGTCAATCGACGGATTCAACTCGGTTGGGCAGCGTTCGGGAAATTACGGCACATCTTCTCGTCAGGTATACCTCAAAACTTGAAAACGAGACTGTACACCCAGTGCGTGTTGCCAGTGATGACATACGGAACTGAGACGTGGTCCTTCACTGCTGGCCGGATGAGGAAGCTCAAGGTCGCTCAGCGAGCTATGGAGAGGGCTATGCTCGGAGTTTCTCTGCGTGATAAACTCAGAAATGAGGATATCCGCAGTAGAACTAGAGTGACCGACATAGCCCAACGGATTAGTAAGCTGAAGTGGCAATGGGCCGGCCATATAGCTCGAAGAACCGACAACCGATGGGGAAGAAAGGTTCTCGAGTGGCAGCCTCGTACCGGCAGGCGAAGTGTAGGGCGTCCCCCCACTAGATGGAGTGACGACCTGGTAAGATATGCAGGAAGTCGATGGATGCAGGTGGCTCAGGACCGTGCTTTGTGGCATTATTTGGGGGAGGCCTATGTTCAGCAGTGGACTTGTGAAGGGCTGTAATGATGATGATGATGATGAAAGGGCTTTGCGCAGACGCACATGATTCTTGAGATATACGTAATCTCCAACTTTATACTGAATGGGCCGTGACCGGGTGTCGTAATACTGTTTAGATCTTTCCTTAGATCTTTGTATGTTTTCTAAGGCTTTTTCGCGTGATGGTGTAAGGATTTGAGATATTCTGGATATGTAAGGTCCGATTGTAATTCGTAGATTGAGTCCGGGATAAAAGGCTTCTGACCGAAGAGGAGTTCGTATGGTGTGAAATTAGTAGTGGAATGAGTAGATGTGTTATATGCCAACATAGCGGTATAAACATACTTATGCCAATCAGAATGATTTTGGTTGACATAAAATTTAAGGTACTCCTTAAGTGTGGAGTGACTGCGCTCCAGTGCACCTTGCGTTTGAGGATGGTATGGAGAAGACCAGATTTGTATAATTTTCAGGAAGTTGCAGGTTCTTTTAAATAGGTCTACGGTGAAGTTTGTGCCTTGATCGGTTAAAATAGACTTCGGGATGCCGAAGACAGAAATAAAGTGCACTACACATTCACATGTCTCTTCTGCAGTCGCATTAGCGATAGGGTAAGCAAGGGAATATTTGGTGAGGTCGTCCTGCAACGTAACAATAAATTTGAGTTTATTAAGTCCAGCTTCAGGAAGTGGTCCTACAAAGTCGAGGCTGATTCGTTAAAATGGTTTGGTGGAAGTGGCAGTTATTTGCATAGGTGATTTATTAACTTGTCTTAAGGCTTTATTACTTTGGCATTGGGAGCAATTCTTCACGTATGTTTCGATGTCTGTCCGCATATTTTTCCAGAAATACCTCTCTTTTACTCGACTATACATTCGCGTAGATCCTAAATGTCCGGCAATTGGAATGTCGTGGTTTTCGCGGAGTATTCTGGGTATCTCGGAGAGTGTAGGGTAAATTATAGTATTGTGATAAATATGAACTGATATTTGAGTATTGTTAAAGATGTAGCAGAACATGTTGTATATTTTTGTCCAGATGTGTTTGTCGAAAGGATTTTGGAAATCAGTGATGGCTAAATTTAGGTTGGAATCAGTGGAATTACATAATATATCGCATCGAAGATTTAGTAGGCTTTTATAAATGTCTTCATAAGAGCTGTTATGAAAGTTGTATACTTTGGTGAATAGGAAATATATTGTTTTTCCCTTGTGATCGAATGAGATGAAGAAATAAAGAGTTCTTTCCCTATTTAAGAGTTCTTTAGAGTTTTCGAGGTTACTTAGAATTTCTTCTACGTGAGGGTTGGAGTCATCGAGATCGATGGAAGTAGGTATGACAATGATTTTGCAGTTAGTTTTCAGGATGCTTTCGTTGTGTTCTAGGATGTTAGCGTTACTATTAAAGTCTTTGTTGCTCATTGTTTTTAGAAATCTGCTATAATTATCGTCACGAGAAGGATTTGGTATAGGATCTGGGGATTCGTTAGATGTGGTGTGGTGGATGTGATCATCGTTTTCCAAGAGGTCTACAGAAGGTAGTTTATCGTCGAGGTCTAAGGAATCAGTGGGTAGCTGGATGTCAAGATCGTCAAGAGTAAGAGGGCTGAATTAAGGTATGGATTTATCTTCATCGGAAATAATAACTTTTGTTGTAGTCTATAAGATATTTATTTTTCATAAAACAAAATATATTTTTTAAATGAAGGATGAAAGTTGCTTTTACTTTTTTCCTCGTTATTAAATATTTTGATGCAGCCATGAAACTTGACCTTCAGGAGATTGAAAGTAAGATGAAAACAAGTCTCGAATATTAAAAGCATTTTCGGCACTGTTCATTCCGTTTTCTGGTATTGGTTGCAGGAAACCATTCTCGTTTTGATGTATTGGTTGCTGTATCTCATGTTGATTTAGATACTCTATTTCATAACTTCGCATAATATTATGTAAAATACATGTCGCTAGTATCAATGTGTCAACGTGAATCGGGTTCACATTAATACTTTTATTATAAATGCCAAATTTGTGGTACAATATTCCAAATGCATCTTCCACAACTTTGCGTGCTCGTGATAAACGTTCATTGAATATAGTTTGTGCCTCAGATAAGCCACGACAACGAGGGTATGGCCTCATTAAATTTTTCATTAGAGGAAACGCCTCATCTCCTATGAAAACATGTGGTATATCTCTGTTACTTCCAGGTAGTGGTTGATCGTTTGGAATATGTAATGAATTACTTTCAAGACGTCTCGCTAATTTCGAAGATGCAAATATTTCACCGTCACTATTTCTACCAAAAGCACCTATATCAACTATTATAAATCTATATTTATCATCAACCACAGCCAATAGGACAACAGAAAAGTGCTTTTTATAATTAAAATACAGCGAACCACTATTAGCAGGTGCTATGATGTTGACATGCTTCCCATCTATAGCGCCGATGCAATTTGGAAAATTCCATCTGTCTTGAAATCCTTGAGCTATACTTTTCCACCGCTCTTCAATTGGCGTTGGAATGAAAATTCCCATTAATTTGTTTATGATTGCGTTACATACTTCTTGTATAATTGATCGGATTGTTGATTCGCCTAATCTAAAGCTTGAACTCAACGTCCTTGCTGAACTTCCCGTGATCATATACCTGAAACAAAACTTTCTCTATTAATATTTCTAAACAAAAATAAACACACCTTAGCACACAGACATCTCTTCACTTCGATTTTTTTCTTTTTCAGAATCAGAGTGCAAGAAAACATGGGCAAACTTAAGAGAAAGCTATAGAAGGGCAGTTGTTAAGAAACGCACAAAAAGTTTAAGTGTGCTATGATCTTTAGGGTTACAGTAACCACTTACCATCAGGTGGACTGTGTGCTCGTTTGTCACCCGATTCTATAAAAAAAAAAGCCAAGGCGGATATATGGGCATGAAAAGTTAAGCTACAACCAAAAGTCACGCCAAGATCTTTTATGGTTGTCACGCGCGTTAGAGTAGTGTCTCCTAAAGTGTAGGTAGCTTGTAGAGGCAGTGTTGAAAAACATTTTATTGTCAATACTCCACTGGTAGACCCGGTCGATGTCACTTTGGAGATGACTGTGATCGACATTTTCATTTATTTCAAGTGTCAGTTTTAAATCGTCTGCGTAAAGTAAGCATTTAGCATGCTTAACGACGCTAACAAGATCGTTGATTATAATAAGAAATAGGAGTGGACCGATTACCGATCCCTGACTAACTCCGGAGCGAGTATGGTATGATTGGGATAGGTAACAACCATGGGTAACATATTGGCGCCGGTTGCGAAGATAATTGAAAAAAAAGGGATAGTAGTTTCGGCGTAAATCCTATAGCGCATAACTTTATTAACAGTATGTCATTGTCTACTTTATCAAACGCCTTTTTAAAATCGAGGTATAGTACATCTACCTGCCTACCTTTATCTAGACTCTGCGAAATGTAATCCACAAGCGAAAGAAGATTAGTCTCTACTGAGCGACCAGGTCGAAAACCATGTTGTTCGTCGCATAAATAGGACTTTTAACTGTTCGTAAATGACCTTATGTACAATATGTTCAAAGACCTTGGCAGGGGATGAGAGAATCGCAATGGGGCGATAATCCTCAACAGAGAACCTGTTACTAGTTTTTGGAATGGGGGTGATACGAGATAGCTTCCACTGTTCGAGATAAGTGCCACTATGCAGAGCCAGATTAAATATATGACAAAGGGAGGGTGCAATATGTTCCTTACATCCTTTTAATATATAAGTAAGAACCTTATCGGGACCGACAGAACTACCGGGTTTTAATTTGTTGATACCAGCTTTGACTTCTGATAATGTAAAGTTGCGTATGTTTACATATCCCCCATGTGGTGCGATGTTAGTGGTACATACTTGATTGGGATCTAGAATGGGGTTATTTGGTAGGAATACACTTGAAAAATAGTGCGCAAATGCATCAGCTGCTTCAGTACAGGAGAAGTTATTATTTTTATAAGTCACTATGGGTTCAAAACCGCCCTTGAATTGCAAGTTAGCAATATGCTGCCAAAATTTTTTTGGGTTAGTCTTAATATTCATTTCGATAGCTATTATGTATGATTTGTAGGCTAACTCAATGCGGTTCTTTAAATTCGAACGTAATCTAGAGAAAGCATTATAAACACATACGTCACCATGTTTTTTCCATTGGCGATGAAGTCTTATTTTACGATTGATATCCTTTATGATATCAGCAGAAAACCAAATTTATGATTAAACAACCACTTTAGTGGTCTATGGTCAGTAATGATCTTGAATTTTCATCCATAGAGATATAGACGAAAGGTTTTACAACCGAACAAAAGAGCAAGGAGTTCTTTTTCAGTGGTATTGTAACTATACATCCGCTTTTGTTGAGGGTCCGAGAGGCAAAGGCTATTGGCCTATCTTTGCCAATTGGAAATTGACTGAGTACAGCACCGATAGCATAATTAGAGGCATCACATGTTGGGATGAAAGGGATGGAAAAATCTGGATAAATGAGGATGGGAGCAGAGGTAAGTCTGTGCTTGAGTTCGTCGAAGGCGACTTGTTGTAGGTTTTCCCATAGAATGGGGACATCCTTTTTTAGAAGTTGAGTTAAAGGTTTAGCAATTTTTGAGAAGTTGGCAATAAAACCGCGATAGTAGGATACAAGACCAAGGAAGGACTTAATGTCCTTCGGGGATTTGGGAGTAGGAAATTGAGTTACCGCTTTTACCTTTTCAGGGTTAGGTTTTACACCATCTTTAGTTATTTGATGGCCAAGATATGCGACTTCACGTCGGAGAAATTCGGACTTGTCAGGTTGGAGTTTTAAATTGTAATTCCGAAGCCTTTGGAATACTAACGAAAGGTTATCAATATGAGAATTCAAGTCATGAGAGTATATGACTATGTCGTCAAGGTAGACGAAACACCGTATGCCTTGGAGGCCTGTGAGAGCGGTATTCATTAATCGTTGGAAAGTGGCAGGCGCGTTTTTTAAACCAAAAGGCATTCTTGTAAATTGGTAGTGTCCTTGTGGTACACTAAAGGCTGTTTTGGAAGCGTCTTCCTCATTGATCAAAATCTGGTGAAATCCTGACGCAAGATCAAGGGTTGAGAAGTATTTGCTCTGTTCTAGCTGATCTAAAATTTCGGATATTTGCGGTATAGGGTATCTGTCACCAACAGTGATGTCGTTTAATTTCCGATAGTCGATAACTATACGCCATTTTTGTTGTCCGGATGCGTCAATTTTTTTTTGGGACAATCCAGATTGGTGAAGACCATGGAGACTGAATGTTTTATGATTCCCTGGTCGAGCATTTGGTCAATTTGTTTTTTAACTTCTTGTTTATGTACCTCTGGGAACCGATAAGATTTTACATTTATGGGATTTTGATCGCTAGTTTTTATGTTATGTTTAAGGGCATTTGTGTGGGATAGTTTGTCGTCAGGAATAAAGAATATGTCCGAGTGTTCAGAGCAAACATCGTGAAGAGCGTTTGTCTCTTCAGGATTGAGGTGGGAGACTCTAAGTAGGTTTAATACTTCTTGTGTTCGGAGGTAAGAGTTTGTGTTTTTTAAATTGCAAACTGTGTAAGTGTTTACTGGATCAAAAGGTTTGGTTAAAGAACTTAAAGGAATTAGTGTCATATCTAGATTTGACTGTAGGGTTATAGGAGTTTCAGAGGTATTGATTACTAATAAGTTAATTCTTTTGTTTTCTTTGACTGCGACTAAGCAATTAGCGATTAGTAAATCTTCATGATAATATTGGTCTAGTACGAGTCCTTCTTTTACTTCAGGGTTGGAGACAGAGCATTCTATGACGGTTTCAGATCTAGCAGGAATAACATAAGTAGATTGATTGAAATGTAATTTTATTTCATTTCCACCTATTTTCAAAGTTTCATGAGTGTAATCGATTGTGCAGCCAAAAGCGATTAGCATATCAGTGCCAACTATACCATCATAAGGTAAGTTTATTTGAGGTATTATATGGAATCTATGTGTGATACTATTTTTATCATTTATTTTTATCTCAAGTGGAAAATGGCCCATTGTAGGTGAAGCTTGATCAATAGGGTCAATACCTTTCAGAAATATTACTTCTGTTGCCGTTGCGATCGTTTCAGTAGGCTAACTGTTGCGCCAGAGTCTACAAGGAGAGATAAGGTAGTGTCCGACACTGAGGAATACACAAGGATATGGGGTAAGCGTTTCTTGAATGGACCAATATTAATTTCATAAATTCTGGTTTCAGGAATGGGACGAGGGACAGTTGAGTCTAAGGTAGGTTTAGCACATACGGAATGATTGATTTTACGTTTGGTGAGGCCGGTGGATACAGAGGATACAGCGGGAGCAGAGGATGCAGAGGGTACAGTGGGTGTGAAGGATACAGCGGATGTAGAGGATACAGTGGGTGCAGAGGATGCAGTGGATGCAGATACACAGTGGATATAGTGTTACGTTCATTTCGCGAGTCCCTATCATAAGGGGATACAGAGGATGCAGCGGATATAGTATTTCGTTTAGTTCGCAAGTCCCTAATATTAGGGGATACAGAGGATACAGTGGATATAGTATTGCGATTATTTCGCGTGTCCCTATCGCTAGGGGATACAGAAGATACAGTGGATGTAGTATTGCGGTTGATTCGCGTGTCCCTATCGTTAGGGGATACAGAGGATACAGTGGATGTAGTATTGCGGTTGATTCGCGTGTCCCTATCGTTAGAGGATACTGAGAATACAGTGGATGTAGTATTGCAGTTAATTCGCGTGTCCCTATCGTTAGGGGATACAGAGGATACAGTGGATGTAGTATTGGTGCCTTTGATATAGTAATATTTTGGAATTCGATGCTTGGGTCTTTATGTGTTTAAATCATCGTTTGATTCACCCTGACCTTCCGTGTAGTCACTACTTTCGTTAATATTTACCGCGTGGATTTGAGCTTGATTGTTTTGATAGCGTCTTTGATTATTTTGGTCTCTAAAGCGGTTATTATTAAATTCCCGTTTCCTACAATTCTCGATAGTGTGGCCCACGTTTTTACAATAACGGCACACTGGAGGACCTGAAGTAGACGGCCCTTGACTGTTGGTATTGTTTGAGTAGCCTCGCTGTGTAGGGTTTCGACTTGATTGTGATTGGCGTTGAGGCCAGCGTCCTTGATTAGGCGAACTGGTATTATTTGCCGAAGGATTACGCTTAGAAGAGGTCTGCAATATCTTTTCTTCGGATACAGCGAAGCCAATGGCTTCATTTAAAGTTTCAGGGTCACGGCTTCTGACTACCGTTGACAGTCGAGGATTTAAGCCACTTACAAATGTATGCAATGCTAAATCTTGCATTGCGGCGACACGGCCAGTCAGTTCACCTTTCTTTTTCGTGGGTATTGAGATATTGATTTCGGTTAATAGCTTTGATAGACATGTCTCTACGCGTAGTGCATGAGATATTGATTTCGGTTAATAGCTTTGATAGACATGTCTCTACACATAGTGCAAACTGGTTGACCGTTTCACTATTAGTTTGACAACAATCTTGGAGGTCCGAGAGTAGTGCAGCGTAATGTTTTTTCTCGCCAAATTGGTTTTTGAGAAACTCCTCTAACTGTTCCCAGT